AAGATGAGATGCAAGTTCTTCAAAGAACAATAGCTGTTGCTACTTAAGACCGGAAAGTTTACACAATCCCTGGCAAGATCGTTTTTTTCTTCTAGGGCGTTACATAAACAAAAGTTTGATTAATTAACAATTTTGTTAATAAATGAACGATATTTCCGTCACCAAAATTCCGGATCTCACATTCACTCCACGTTTTCTTTAAAATCGCACTTAAGATAGTGTGATTTTAACCTATTAGATTGCGCTGTTGATGAATTGCGGTATGTTTAGATACAAAAAAAAATTTCTCTCTCTGTATAAACATTTTGGTTTACAACAGACGCGGTAGCGTCGATACATAACAATATTGAAAGATAATATCATGTTGTATACAAAACAAAATCCTGTCGCGTGTCAACTCGCGACAATGTTTATTTGGTCAAGGTTAAAAGTCCGACGTCTTCGATTTCTCGGAAGTCAGTCGAATGTTGACCGGATGAGGTGGTTGTAAAACTTGAACGATAAGTAGACTTCAAAGTTCACTGGGTTAAGAGTGTCCGTTGAATTCTCTCTGTTGATTTGGGTTGGAGTCAGATGTTGGTGAAACACCTGTAAGTTGATAAGGTTCATTTCTCTTCCTTCTTCTGGATTGAGGTAACGCCGTTGCACTTTTCTTATTCAAAAAGAACAGTTAAAAATCATTAACAGTTGGGTGAGACCATCTTGTCACTAAGTTCGAACTAGAGGTATTTGAATTCACACAATTGTGATTGACTCTCTCTCTCTCTATGCGGTTTATTTCTACTCTAACGAATAAAGAAATATAAAATTGTCCCTACAGTAACCTGTAGACTACTAAACTAAATTCGAATATATTGTTTCTAACTTCTACAAATATACTAACTTAGAATATACATGGATGTAAATGAAAAACATAATGCTCGAATATATGGAACTTAACTCTATGAATATCTGAGAGTGTAGAAATTAAATGGATGTAGTGTGGTAGTAAGTGAGTGTTTACATAATTTAGTGTTTTCCCTACTTCATTTGACGTGTTGATTTTTGGTATTCGTGGTCTTTGTGTGGGATCTGTGCCTGTATATTTAGTGAGTGTTTCCTGAAATATAAGTGAGAGCATATTAACTAATTCTATGTCTACGTTATTCAGTGATGGATGAGGAAGTGCCTGTAGTATCATTAGTTGTAGTTATGTGTGTACTATTATCAATGCTTGTTGCTGGATTATCCTGACAGGTTACGTGATCTTCATTAATAATGTTAAATGTTTCTGTCTGTTGATGTATTTGATCAGCAACCTGTTGTTTGATAAGTTCAAGTGTTGTTTGTGGGATAAGGTTGTTGTGTATAATTGTTCGTTTTTGATCAACAACCCTTTGTTCGGTGACAGTGAGGTGAGGATATTGTTGTGTGAATATGGTGTAGTTGTTGTCTGTATGCTGTCATGTTTGTTTCGAGTCTTGTGATGGTGTAGTAAGTGCGGATGATAAACTCGTTCATTTCTGTTGTCCATTTCATCCGTTGGCGTGGTTTTCCAGCCTTTGTGGTCTGTGGATGCATTGCCACAGAAACACCAAGGCTAGGTTGATTCCTCACATCTGTTGAGGGCATTGCAGTAGCCATGCTTGGGCCGGCGCTGCTTTCGCCACCGGTAACCAAGGGAGACTGGAGCCTATTTTTCGAACGTGAGCCTCTGCCTAACCCACGAACGCGGACCTTGTTAACCCGGGCGACGTCCGAGCCGGTATCATACTTAGATCTGGTTACTACCATATATTATCTCCACAGAATGTGGGTGTGTGGTCACTCTTAGCTTCATTTCTCCCCATAGACCTTACTGGCATGGGTGTGAGATCTGAATTACCCCTGGGATTAATTAATAGTTTAATTAAAAAGTTAAATTGTTGTTGAAAAATATTCTCTGATTTTGGTGGGAAAATTATATTTTCTAAAACAAAGGAAACAGGCAAAAGTTACTTCCTGCAATGGAAGATCGACATCCTTTTGTTTTCCCCTTATCTGCTAAAATCTTAGTCATCCTGGAATTTGTTAACCCCTCGATAAATCCCTTGTTCCTCTGTTCATGTGAGAGAATCCGAAAAGCTGATTGGAGAAAACTCATGAGAAATAGAGTTTTACATGATTCGGGGAGTACGCCACAAAATTCGAAAGAAGGAAGATGTATTCCATACCATCTCCTGAAGGCCAATGCCCAGATTAGACTCCCATGTTTTGTTAAGTTAGTAAATAGGGAAGAAAATATATAAATATGTGCCAGTCAAGACCTACCCAAGAAAAGCCTGAAGTCCATCATTAAAGAACAGAAGAAGAGAAATAGACAGAGGTAGTATGATTATAATAGAAATTATGAGCTCGCTCTCTCGAAACGTTTAATTTAAATATTCCATATTTGTATAATTTTCGTTATTTTGTTCCCATAAATTTTTGTTTTATTACTGTTAAAGAAATGTTTCCTCGTATCTGAATCTAAAACCGAGAGGTTCATTTTTGTATCATCTCCACATGCGTGTTAATCCACGTACACTACAAAATTGATTAACTGGTGTCAAGGATCCTGATGAGATCTAGAATTAATCCTCTAGATCATTTTTAAACTAAATAACGCTCTCCTAGAAAAAGTTTAGTGAGCCAATCTTGCGATTGTGTGTCCATAAGTGGCTTAGACTTAGTTCTACGTCCTTGGCTACTCACATGGGTGTTCCTACCAGGAGCTTGTGCTCCAGCCTGCATTGCTCTATGGTTCAGTAAAATTACTGGGCTCTCCCACCACGACCAGGTGGTGACCACGGGAGAGTTATTATTATTATTATATTTTATGTTTTAAAATCCAAAGTTTATAAAAATATTTAAAAAATTATAATATAAATATAAATAAAATTAACTTATATTTTTTTTTACTGAAAGGAAATGGCCATAACAAAAAAAAATAATCAATTAAATAGTCTCTGCAGCAATACAATTGATCATAGCTATGACCACTTGCCAAATTAGTTCTCAACATGCACAACTGTATGACACATGAATCTGCCAGTGCTTTTTCTCCTCTTAGAGGCTTTGCATCATGGCAAAGCATCACAGTACACTGGTTGTGGAGCACTGGTAGACAAACCAATTATTAGAATATATGGAAGTAAAGTTTTATTATGTCAGAAAAAAACTTTAAACTGATAAATTTTAATTATGCACATGTGCATATTAAATAAATTTCCAACAATAATTTTTTATTAATGAATATTAACTGTTTAAGTGATGATAAAATGATCTATAATATTATGCACAATATTATTTTACATTATAAAAAATTTTAAAATAGATGATTCAACAAACGGCTAATTACTAAACAATTTTTAAATTTCTTTAAAAATTGTTTAGTAATTAGCATCATTGAAATTAAATTTTAATTCATTCCTAATGAGGAGAAAAACATCATTAAGTTGGTTAATTCATGTAAAATATATATGAAAAAAGATTTTATGATTTTACATATACAACAAAACATTGTGATAATCTTTAACAAACATGTTTTTCTACTACTGTATTATAACTTCAAATTTAAACATTGAAGATCATCTATACTAATACATTTATTTTACTAGAAACAATGTTTTAAATTTGATTATTACCATGACACGGAGAACACCTGAAGTATGTAACTTCTTCTATTGTGCCATTATTTTTCCCTAATGGCTCTTCTAATTCAACACCTGCCCATATACCAGGTGCAAATTTTGTTGTGCCACAATATCTAAGAATACCAACCTTCAAATAAGAAACAAAATAATAAAAAAAATTACTATTTTTATCATAAAATATTGTAGTAGGCATAAAAGTTAAGATAAAATTGCTAACAAAACAAAGAGCTTTCAAATAAAACATTATAATGTGGTTGAAAAATTTCAACTACATTATAATAGTATTTGTTTTTTGCAATTTTAAAACAACATATCTTATAAATATAAATCTTGATGATAAATAATTATTATTATATATAAATTAAAACAACATGCTACATTTTTAAAAAGTATTTAAAAAAAACTTATAAAACTTTTGACTGATAACTACTTTAAGTAATCGACAGTGACAAATTAAATTGAAAATTAAAGCTATTTACAGGTTTTCTTTTTATTTAATTATATTATCAAAGTAACTTTCAGCTGAACTTTAAGAAAATAATTTATTATATTGTAACTTTTGTCACACATTTTATGTTAATTAAAATATATCTTAGTTTATCTGCATAAAATANTTTTTTACTGAAAGGAAATGGCCATAACAAAAAAAAATAATCAATTAAATAGTCTCTGCAGCAATACAATTGATCATAGCTATGACCACTTGCCAAATTAGTTCTCAACATGCACAACTGTATGACACATGAATCTGCCAGTGCTTTTTCTCCTCTTAGAGGCTTTGCATCATGGCAAAGCATCACAGTACACTGGTTGTGGAGCACTGGTAGACAAACCAATTATTAGAATATATGGAAGTAAAGTTTTATTATGTCAGAAAAAAACTTTAAACTGATAAATTTTAATTATGCACATGTGCATATTAAATAAATTTCCAACAATAATTTTTTATTAATGAATATTAACTGTTTAAGTGATGATAAAATGATCTATAATATTATGCACAATATTATTTTACATTATAAAAAATTTTAAAATAGATGATTCAACAAACGGCTAATTACTAAACAATTTTTAAATTTCTTTAAAAATTGTTTAGTAATTAGCATCATTGAAATTAAATTTTAATTCATTCCTAATGAGGAGAAAAACATCATTAAGTTGGTTAATTCATGTAAAATATATATGAAAAAAGATTTTATGATTTTACATATACAACAAAACATTGTGATAATCTTTAACAAACATGTTTTTCTACTACTGTATTATAACTTCAAATTTAAACATTGAAGATCATCTATACTAATACATTTATTTTACTAGAAACAATGTTTTAAATTTGATTATTACCATGACACGGAGAACACCTGAAGTATGTAACTTCTTCTATTGTGCCATTATTTTTCCCTAATGGCTCTTCTAATTCAACACCTGCCCATATACCAGGTGCAAATTTTGTTGTGCCACAATATCTAAGAATACCAACCTTCAAATAAGAAACAAAATAATAAAAAAAATTACTATTTTTATCATAAAATATTGTAGTAGGCATAAAAGTTAAGATAAAATTGCTAACAAAACAAAGAGCTTTCAAATAAAACATTACTATGTGTCCGCTGTTAAAGATTTATTTTTTTATTTTGCTTTACTTTAGCTTCTTAGTTAATATGTCTAGAAAAAAATAACGACGATAATCTGTTAAAAGTATCTCTCGATTTGTAACAACAATCATTTGTTTGATTAATGAGAAGTGTCTTATCCGCAGAAATCATTCTTGTTATCGTGCTCACACCTTAATGGATTAGTCATGTCCGATTCCCTAATCATCAGTTTGTGGCTACTTCGAACTATCAAATGTTTGCCAAATGTATCTTATAATAGCCATGGTTCCTTTTACTCGATGCTTGTTTCTGCTCTTCAGAAAAGATTACTGCATTAAAAAGTATACTTTGTGCACAACTTCTACAAATTAAAATCTTAAATTAATTCACTAGTCGAATTTGTAATTTAGTTTCGATGTTTAATCTGTCTTTACTGGCGAATTTTGATATGGGGAAAATTGGATAATTGATAAATCAGAAAGGAAATAGGAGTAAAATGTGATAAAAGTAAAAATCTTTATATCACGTGATGCCTTCCTTACCCCATTTTGTCGGGAAAACTGCCAGTTGTGTACAAACTATGCGAGTTTTAATTATTTCGCTTAGTGTGAAATTAAATTTTCTGCAATTAAACAATGACCTGCTGCTTTCCTGTGTTGCTGTACGCCATTCCACTATATTCCGTTTTTAAATTTGACATGTATCACCTCAAAAATCCCATAACTTTGTGTTAAGTTTAAGTGCATTGATTATACGATTCTTGGCGATTTAAAACAATTTATAAAGTACAACCTTCCATGAAAATAACGGACTTAAAAATTTAAAATAAAAAATTATGCCAAAAAATATTTTCAAATTAAATTTTACAAAAAATGNATAACTACTTTAAGTAATCGACAGTGACAAATTAAATTGAAAATTAAAGCTATTTACAGGTTTTCTTTTTATTTAATTATATTATCAAAGTAACTTTCAGCTGAACTTTAAGAAAATAATTTATTATATTGTAACTTTTGTCACACATTTTATGTTAATTAAAATATATCTTAGTTTATCTGCATAAAATAAGCTGAAAACTGTTACAGTGATAAATTTTTGCATTAGTGGAACTGCATATAGATTTAATTTCTATGAGATGATTTTTCTTAATTTGTATGAATCTTTATTTAGTGCACTCCAGGAATGCAATTATATAAATGTAATTAAACCATGTAAAACTAGGTATGTCTGTCTGTCTATATAAACATACATATACAAGTATGCATGCATGTAAATGTGAATATTTGAATATATGAATAAAATGTCTCAAATCCAATCCAATACATCAGATATCTTGTTACAATGGTACCTCATACTTGAAATAACTAACTTCAAATGCTAGATTTGAGAAGTTCAACCTCAAATGCAGACTGCATGCAGCGAAAAAAATGATCTTGCTGCATAAACACCATCTGTGTTCACACCCAACTTGTATTCTAATCTTATAAAAAGCATCTCTTATGTTGTGATCATATTTTCAGTGCTTTTGCAACTTTATTTTTGGTGTGTTTGATTATATATATATATATATAAAACCCATACCTATTAACAATGGCATCCAAGAAGAGTGGAACAAATGAAGTCTAAGAAGGCTGTAGTATCAATGATTGAAGTAAAAAAACAAACTTATTGTGAAGCATGAAAGTGATATTGTGAAGCATGAATCTGGTGGCCATTTTAAGATGCTGAAGTTGATGGTGTGCATTATTCTTAAAAACAAAGCAGCAATAAAAGCAGCAAATATGGCAAAGATAGGATAATGTTGAACTCCAGGAGATTGCATATTATTAAGATGTAAAAATTCCTCCTAGTGTGGATAAATGGGAAGCAGTTAGATAATGATGTCATTTCAGGATTATTTGTGAGAAAGCTAGGAAAACTGAATAGTGACCTTAAAAAAGGAGACATCACTCCACTCCTAAGGTAAACTACAGTAAATGCAATTTTAATTTAATATTTCCATATTTTATTTACTGTTTTCATGTTTTAATTTTATTATTTAGAGTATTTAATTGAGTTATTTTTATTTTAAATTATTTGTAGTTGTTTAAATTTATTGAAATTGGTATTGGTTATGGTCTGGGAATGGATTAATTCACTTCTATTATTTCTAATGGGATAAAATTAATTTTGACTTCAAATAATTCAGAGTTTGAATGATCTGCTAGAATGAATTAAATTCAAAGTACAAGGTACCACTATATATATGTATATACATATACACACATTATATTCTTTAGTAAGATTATCATCATTAACGATTATAACCAAATTAGTTATATCTTACCTTTGCTCCTCCTACTATAACTTTGTCACCAAGTTTCAGTCTTAAAGATTTTAAAACAGTTCTGCCAGTAATATTGCTATAATCTACTAAATCATATTCAGAATATTGAATTTTATTTTGAAGTAATTTTCTCAAATGACAAATAATATCTACGACATCAGACATACTCTCTACCTCAGAAATTTGTGGAATACAATCTGAAAAAGAATTTGCTTTAATCTAGTACCTATTAACTATTGAAATATTTTTAAAATGTTTAGTTACCATAAGGAGTTCTTTTAAAATCATCTTTTATATTTACATCAGCACCATATTTTATAAGGATTTTTGTAGCTTCGACACACAAATTATATGCTGCAATATGAAGCGATGTTCCACCATCAAATTCTTGGCATGGAATGTTGATATCTATTTTGAAAAATTAGTTATTAGAATATTAGATAAATAAATATTTTAAAATATTCTATTGTAAAGCCAAACCTATATATTATTTTTTACATATTATTAATTAAAGAAATATTTTATGCTTTCTACATGATACTTTGCAAAACAATATTTTTTAATGCTGAAACTGATAACATATTGTAACTTGTTACAACATGAGAGTTGCAATACTTGTGGATACTAACTTGTTAACTATAAAGATATAGTTTACTTTATACTGTATACTAAAAGATTTTTACTGTCTAATCACCAAATATTTCAGATTATGTAGGAAATTTTATATCAATAATTCTGATAAATAAAACCTGTATATTTTTATTGGATTATATATGACCAAAATATATAATAAATAAATCCATATAAAAAAATACATATCAATATCAATCTTGAATATATATATATATGTAGAGCGTTGTTCATCCAAAAGCCAGTTATCCGAAAGAATTCCAGTCAGCAAATTTAAATTTTCATTAGTGCTGTGGCACTGCAATCTTTGGCTATATCTTGGGCTACTCCAATATTTTTTTTGTTGGTGTGTGTGTTTTAGCTGGCAGCACTGGCACTTTTGTGTAGTGTTTTTCTGAGGACTGTGTGTTGTGCTGAATCGAACGTTTTTGATACTAGATTAACTTCTAAAGTATAATTTTTTTTTGTTTTTATATTTTTCAATATATTTATTTTGTTTGTAAAAAATTAAGAAATAATTTTTAACGATACAATAGCCATGATTATTATTTTAAAAAGTTTATAGCATTTTTGGGAAAGTATGATATATCCAAATTATTTTAATATTATATATACTTTCCATAGGCATTGTTTGTAATACCTAGGCATTATATAGGATGACAAATGCTATTTAGGCAAAGTATTAAAAGAAAGTCATGGAAAGGCTTTTATTGAAAAGACATACAGTAGAACCCCTCTAGTCCGCCC